GGCTAGGATCTGGAACCAACTTCCAAGGGAAGTGGTGCTGGCTCCTACCCTGGGGGTCTTTAAGAAGAGGCTTGATGTCTACATGGCTAGGGTCACTTGAGCCCAGTTTCTCTCCTGCCCAGGCAGGGGGTCGGACTTGAAGATCTACAAGGTCCCTTCCGACCCTACTTCTATGATTCTCTGATTCTCCTACATATAGCCATAGTGGGTTGTATCACTCCACAGCTAGGAGACTGGGAGTAGGGATCAAAGAATACCTCTCTGCCAGGATTTCCTGGAGGCTTGAGGATAACAGAATGGAAACAGCAGAGCCTTTGACACCCTGCCACTCTCTAAAGCCTGTCATTGCTGGGCTGGTTAGTTTAGTCTCAGAGGACTCTTAAAATTTCTCATGTACTGCATTCCCACCAAAACCAGAGAATAGATGTCTACCATCTCCTTGCCCCAGTTTTTCACAGAACAGAACTGTGAGGTACTGGCTTTGCTCTTCAGTTCACAGAGAGTCTTCCCTTACCTGGACATGGTCTAAAATTAATCATATGGAATTCAATAAAGACTAGTGAAAAGTCCTGTATTTAGGATGAAACAATAGCACGTACAAATAGACAGGGGAAATGGCTGGGTAGGCTGCAGTACTGCAGAAAAGAACCTAGGGGTTATAGAGGACCATAAGGTGAGGATTGAGTCAGTGTACTCTTATTGCAAAAATAGCCAATAGCATCCTGATCTATACTAACAGGAGTATCACTTGCAAATCAAGATAAATGATTCTTGCACTCTATTCAGCGCTGACAAGGACTCATCTGGACATGTCCTGTCTTAGGCACTGCACTTCAAATAAAAAAGTTGACAAACTATAAAAAGGTCAGTGCAGAACATAAAAAATTATTAGAGTTCTAGGAAATGTGACATATGAAGAAAGCCTAAATGCACTGGGATTATTTAGTCTGGAAAGGAGGAAATAGAAGGGGGATTTGAAAAGTCTTCAAATACCTAAAGAGTAGTTATAAAGACAATGACATGGTTATAAAAAGGAAAGACTATTCTCTGGAGCCACAGGGAACAAAGACAAGAAGCAATGATCCTGAACTGCAGCAAGGGAAATATTGCTTGGAAATTAAAGAATAACTCTCTTACTATTAGGGTGATTAAGCACTGGAATGTGCGGGCCAGGAGCAGTCCCAGGTTCTTGGGGGCTTTCGCGCAGCGGGCTGTGGCCAGCAGCCCTGGCACGCGGGTCGGGGAATGCAGGCCGGCAGGCTAGAATTAGGCACGGACGCTTAGTGGTTGATTAAAGATTATTTTACTTACACCGAAGATGGTCACGGTGCAGGCAGGAAAACTTGCTTGAGTTGCAGTTACAAAACAAAACAAAAACTCGAACCTGCAGAACATGAGGGTACGTCGCAATGGGGTTTCGGCGACGGGAAGATGAACAAAAAACTCGAGAGTACGTTGCAATGGGGTTTCGGTGACGGGAAGATAAACCTGCAGGACTCAAACCCGGACAGAGCTCTGGATTCACTCACACGAAGTTTGCTAGGCTCCGTAGAACTTGCGCACAGGGAAGGGTACGTCGAGGGATCAGGCGGCGACGGGGAGAGGTCAGAGGTTGATCAGACCTCTATAGCCTGTGCTGGGTTCGATAGGCTCCGCAGTGCTCAGAGATCTTCACGAGACGTGAAGTTCTCCTCCTCCAGATGGTTGTGGAGTCCTCCCTTGCGGGGTTCTCCTCGGAGTTCTCCAACTTGGGCGGAAACCGCTCAAGCCTCTTATACGGCTAGCAAGCCAATCGCTAGCCGCCACGCAAGGAAAGAAAGCTACAAGTGGCGGGAAATAATTCAGCAGTGCTGAAGCGCACACAAACAAAATCACACCCTTGGGTTGTGAAATGGAACAGGTTACCTGGAGAGGTTGTGCAATCTCCATCTTTGGAAGTTTTTAAGAGCAGCTTAGACCAGTGCTCACCCTTTCTGTCTAGCAGGTTGGATCCGTAGTGCCCGATTCCTCTTCGGGCTGGATCTGGCCAATGGAAGCAATCAGGCACCCAGGACAGGTGTGGCCAGGCCCCATCTGGCTATGCCAAGGGGGACAAGGGACAGGCCAGCTCTGATCTAGCCATGCAAGGGCAAGGGGCATGACACAGTACCAGTCTGGCTGGGCAGAAGGAAAGGGAGCATGGCCCAGCTTTGCAGGGAGAAAGGGGCAGGGCCCAAACTTCCGGGGGGGGCAGGAAAAGGGGGAGAAAGAGGACATGGAACAATCCCAAACCAACAGTGCAGGGGAGTGGGCATGGCCTGGCCCCAATCTGGCTGCACAGAGGGAAGGGAGTGCGCCCCAGCTACGACCCACTCTGCAGGGCTTGGAATTTTGTCAGCAGGTAGGGATGGCATTAACTGCTACTTCTCTCCTGCCACCAAAATTTCCCAGTTCCTAGAGGGCCCCACGCACCAGATTCCAAAGCTCCATGGGCCAAATGCAGTCCATGGGGCCAAAGATTAAGCACCTCTGGTTTAGACAGACTCTTGACTGGGATGGTTTCATCAGGGATGATCCTGGCTTGAAGTGTCAGGGGGTGGGGTTGAACTAGATGACCTTCTAAGGTGCCTTCTAGTCCTACTTTTCTGTGATTCCTGACAGCCCAGCAGACTAGATGGGCCTGCTCCACCCTTACTTTGGCACCAATGTATTTCCTCACTACTCACCACTAGAGTCAGTGTTATTACTATACTCTGGTGGGGAGAATGACATAACAAATCATTTCAGTTGTTCCTGTTTCATCTGTGTTCACTTTTATATGATTTGCAATGATATGGAGTGCTATTATAGCAAACATCACGTGTTCATTCATTTTGGTAGTACTTTTAAAGGTATTTGAAGCATTACAAACATTACATCTGTCCATGTGCTGAGAAATAAATTTTGCAGTACTTTAAAATAAGTTAGAGCTTGAATGTCACACAAATCACTTCATCAGGATTTGTTTTGTTGCTTCTTTTATAATTCCATTAATTACATCAAGTGGGTCCTAATAAATATTTCAAGATTAGTACTCAGATTAAACACACACTTTCTTTGACCCTGATCCTGTAACCGAAATCAAACAAAAATCTGCATATGCACGGAGTACCTATGCTTTATGAGCCTCTGCCCAAGATGCAGGACTTAACCTTGGTAAAGCGCAATGCAGAATTGTCTCTCTCAGGTTAGAAAGACAGTTTCAACCAACCTCAGCTTCATTGTATGCTCTTCTTTTTGCTTGAAGATCTGATTTCAAAGAAACACACTGAGGCTGTAATAGTTGTGCTTCTTCATGTATCTTTTTTAACTGATCTTGGATGGTCTTGTACTTTTCTTCTGCTTCATTTACTTTGACCTTCACAAGATACAGAATAAATTAGATCACCTAAAATCCTTTTTCGTTACGTCGATACCATTTTGAACTACAGGAAAAAAATAACTAAGACTTTCTTGCGGGTTGCTGTTTAAATTCTTTTTCCTCCCAAAACATTCCTCCCAGAAGTTATGGAAGAGCAAGTTCATGGTTTAAAGAGGAAATAAAAATTTACTTAAGCTGTGCCCTTCAAATCAAAAGATTTAATGCAAGGATTCTTGTTGGAATTCTGAGCATTTCTAATGAAGTTCAGCAAAATTAATTAGAGTTGAATTACCAAGTATTTGACTTGAGGAGAGAATGAAAAGATTTTTGTTTTTCAAATTGAAATGAAGTAAAACACCAACAGTCAAAAGTATTTTCGTGTACAACTTTATTTTTATTTTTACATTTTCCCCTCTTTTTTGGATACTCAGGATACTGACTGAATATAGAAAGCAACCAAATGCACAGAATTCTAAATAGCACCCGTCATCATTTACTCACAATTTTACTGAAATAAGAAAAGATAAAATATTTTGGAAAGAAGTAAAATATTTATATTTAACTATCACTTTAAAATGTAGTTCAGTAATCTTAAAAGAGCAATTATAAACAACTTCATTTAAACAAATGTATGTTTTTGCTTATATGCAATCAAAATTAGTCACTTCTGACAGCCAGCTGACTCCACATAATTCAAATTGTACCCAATACTAAATACCTTCCCAAAACTCCTCAGATCTATCAGCAAATAAGAAAACAGCCACATGTCTGACTGCAGACAGAAAACAAATGACTTTCTTAGGCTAGAGTTGGTCTCCCCTGAACATGGACAAGGCACCACCTTTTCCAGTTTGTGAAAGGATGCTAACTTGTCTATTAAACTTTAGACTGCAAACAAATGAATAAATCAAGACAGCTGATATTTATACAGTTATTTGGGGTAAAAGTCAGTTAAAAAAAAAAAAGTGAAAAGAAACTAAATTCAATCAACTTGTTTTAAAGGCAAACATGCCTACCTGCCATTCACTTAGCTTCTGGACATACTTATCTGTACATCCTTCTTCAAGACTGATCCTCTCTTGGATTGGTTTTATTTCTTTTTCTGCCTCACTGACCTGCAGTATAAAAGAATTGAAGTACATATCATACTGGCAATAGTGTCACAGAAAAGTAGGGCTGAAAGGTACCTCCAGAGGTCACCTAGTCCAATCTACTGCATGAAAATTGATGGCCAGCATGGGGAATGAACCTGTATCTGTGGCCTTGGCAGAATCAGCACCAAGGTCAAGGTCAAGATAACCCAAAGATAATTAAGATATTAAGATAGTAAAACAAGAAAGTTACCACTGCCCAAGCCATTTTGTTTTTCAGTTCTTCTAGATAGTTTCGCATTTCATTCACAAACCCAATGGTTCTATAACGTTCCTTTTTTTCCATATAGAGTTGCTTTAGTTCTCGAAGACGCTAAAAGTTAAAAGATTTAAATGTTAGAGACCATAAAAGGCTGTGGTCCAATATGAAGTTTTAGAAATAATTTTTCATATTATCCAAGCAAATCCCATTTCAAGTTCAACTTGTGCTGCACAGTAGCTAGATCTGTCAGATAACTGCACAGTGCTCGTAGATGTAGTAAGTAATCACTGTATATGTTCACATACCTCTACTCCTTGCTCTATCTGGAGAGATGTATTTTCTTTAGTTTTCATAATGTATGAATAATCATCTTTCATCTGCTCCAGCTGGGTTGCCTTCATAAAGAACTAATCAAAGAAGAAAGATCTAAACTTCAGTTTTGATAGACTGTCATTTTTTTTAATTGAATTTTTTTTAATTCAAACTGTCAGAATAAAGAAAATTCATTGAATGTTCAGGGTGTTCAGAGCACTGTTAAAAAAAAAAGTGCACGTACCCACACAAACAAAACAAAGTCACCTGAGCTTAAAGAAGCAGGAACAACATAGGTACAACAAAAACTTATCAACCTGCAATATACCCTCTGGGAGCCCTATATTGCCACTACTCACAGGGAGGAGAGAGAAAAATTGGTTTCCATGAACATTTTGAAGGCTGCCAAATTTACATAATTAAGTTTTGTTATTTTTAAATTTCTTTCAATACATGCTATTTGTAACTCTTTGAAAACCTGAAACTGGAGTATTTGCTGGTTAAGAGAACCTACACTTTTTCCAAATATAACTCTCACCTGCTGTCCTAAAAGGATCTAGAAAATCCTAACTATAGATTTTCAAATAAAAGAAAATTAGGAAATAAATTCATAAAATCATAGAAAAATAAGGCTGGTAGGAAATTCAGGAGGTCATCTACTCCAGTGTCTCTCAACCTGTGGGTTGCAATGCAAAAGCGGGTCACAATAATATTTGAAAGGGCTGGGAGCAAGTCCCAGAAAAATGCGGGAAAGCGTGGATTTCCCCTTGCAGGCTGGTAACATTCCAGCCTGCAAGGAGCTACTTGGGGAAATTAGAGCCAGCGGGTGCACATGCACATGACCGGTATGCAGCTAGGCAGGGTGGTAGAAGCAGCCTCAGCAGCTAGATGCAGGAAAGTGTATAAGTGTATGGGAGAGTGAGGGATGGAGGTCCAGGATGGGTATCTGCATAGGTGTGGAGGGTATGGGGGTTTTGGGGGGGGTGCAGGTACTGGCTGACGCTGGGGAAAGGCGGCCAGGCACTAAGGCTGCATTTGGGGGACGACGGACGACACAGGATGCCTGCCTCTCCAGCGGGGGAAGGGGGTAAGAGGGCCGTTTGTGGGTGACAGCACTGGGGCTGGTGCCCATACTCACAGGGGTAGGGTGGACAGGAGAAACTGCTCAGGGGGCTGACGGGTCCATGACCAGGTTGCGTGGCATGGCATAGGAGCCTCAGCCCAGGGTAGAGGGGGTGCCACAGGCCTCCTCTCCTCCTTCCTCCAGCCCATGCCAGGCCAGACTCACTCCACTGCCACCTGCACGAACTGGAGCAGCTACAGTCACCACAGTCTGGCTCCCCTGCCACATCCGACCCTGGGTGCAGCAGGCTGTGGGTTGGGAGTGAGAAGCACCAGCACAGCCTGGTGCTGTTGGGCCAGGAGTTGGCTAGGACTGTTGGCCGGGAGTGAGGGGGACTGGCAGGCCCACGGGGCTGTGGGTAGGCATTGGCCAATATTTACAAATGGGTGCTGGCTGAGGTTGAGAACACTGATCTACTCTAACCTTGGCTGAAATCAGGATCATCCTGAAGTGTTTGTCTAACCTGCTCTTAAAAACTATAGCTCTCTAGGCAATTTGTTCCAATGTTTAACAACCTCACAGCTGGAAAGGTCTACCTCAGCAGGGGCCAACCTTTTTGGCAGGAAAGCAAAAATTAGCTCCACATCCTCCCTGAATGCAACTCCAATCCCTTTCCCCTGCCCTATCTCTAACTGTGCTTTCTTCCCCCTCTTCAGCCTGCCATGTGCCACACAGAGACTGCCTGTGCACTGGTGGCACTCATGCTGCAGGTCAGCCACCCTAATCAATCACATGTCCAACCCCAATGTCTCTTGTTGCAATTTAAGAACATTACTTCTTGTCCTATTCTATGTGATGAAAGAGAAGTTTTTCACCATTCTCTTTATAACCAACTTCCATACATTCAGTACTGTTATCAAATCCCCCCATACTCTTCTCATTTCCATTGAATAATCCCAGTTTTCCCAACTCTTCCTCCTAAATCATGCTTTCTAGACCTCTGATCATTTTTGTTGCTCAGCTCTGTAATCCTTCTAATTTGTCCACATCTTTCTTGAAGTACAGTGCTCAACACTGTCCATTGCACTTCAAGTCAGGCTTCATCAGCACTACACAATTTGAAGGCAACACTCTTGTTAATGAAATCCAGCATGCTATTTGCTTTTCTCACAGCAAAAGCACGCTGTAGATTCATGTTTGGTTTGTGGTCCACTATAACCTAACCCCCCAGGTCTTTTCTTGCAGCACTACAACCTAACAAGCCATTTCCCAGTTTGCATCTGAGAACGTGATTGTTCCCTCCCATGCACACTACTCTGCAGTTACCAATAGTGCAACTAAACAGAGGCAATCAGGGCACCAGCCCCAGGTGCCAACTTGAGGAAGAGGGCACAACAATAGCAGCTGTTGTGCTGTTCACCCAGCTGCTGCAGCTGGCAACAGCTGCTACCCTGCACACCACTACTTCAGTCAAGGCATACTACATTCACTGCTTTCCCCCCGCAGGCATGGAGCTTGTCATCTTAACATGGAAGAACTTTTGACACTGCCTTCCACAACGTTCTCATTAGCAAACTAAGGAACTAAAGATTAGACAAAAGTACTGAAAGATGGATATACAACCGGTTGGATCACTCTGCTAAATGTGTAGTCATCGATGGCTCAATGTCTAGTTGGGAATATCAACTGGGTTGAAGGGTCTGTCCTGGTCTGGTATCGTTAACATCTACATTAATTATTGGGACAATGGGACTGAGTAAATGCTTAGCAAATCTGCAGATGACACTAAGTTATTTGGAGTTGCAGACATTCTGGATAGTAGGCCTAGGATCCAGAATGACACAGATACATTGGAAAAATGTTCTGTAATCAATCAGATAAGATTCCACAAGAACAAGTGCAAAATTCTCGACTTGGGACAGAATAACCACAGGCACAAATGCAGACTAGGGAATGAACTGGCTACACTACTGCACACAAGGACTTGGGGGCTGTGGTGGACCATAACCTTAATATGAGCCAACAGGACAGTCTTGCTGCAAAAGGAGGCAACAGTATCTTGGGTTGTATTAACGTGAGTGTTACCTGCAAATCAAGGGAAGGAATTCTTTCACTGTATTCAGCACTGGCAAGGCCTCATTCGGAGTACTGTGTCCAGTTTAGGGCCCCATACTTCAAGAAGGATGGTGAGCAGTTTGGAATGAGTCCAGCCCAAAGCAACAAAAATAATTAGAGGTCTGGAAAGCATGTCTTATGAGGAAAAGCTGAAAGAACTAGGGTTATTTAGTTTGGTGAAGAGAAGACTGAGGGGAGATTTGATAAAAGTCTTCAAATACCTGAAGGGTGATTATAAAGAGGATGGAAATAGCCTTATCTCTGTGTCCACAGGGATCAGAACTAGGAACAATGGTCTCAAGCTGCAGCAGAGAAAGTTAAGCTGGAGGTAAGGAGGAACTTTCTGATTATGAGTGTGCTCAAGCATTGGAACCGGCTACCAAGAGAAGTTATAAAATCTTCATCTTTTGAAATATGAGACCAGTCTAGACAGAGACTTGGCTGGGATGGTTCAGTCAAGGATGATCATGAGGTCTCTTCCAGTCCTACTTCACTATGATCACCTTGTTATACTCTGCACAAATGCTCATGGCTGTACAATTTACATAAGCCAATTTGTTGGGCATGCTAAATTAAATCTTGTCTGTCCCTGCTGACTTAAAAGACATCCATCTTCCCTAAATAATCTATAATCTGTCCTTTCCCTTCTCTACTGTTGCTCTCACTATGTTCGTCTGATAGCTGATCTTATTGGTGAAGATTGAAATAATGGACTTCAGTACATCATCCATTATTAGATTACCCTCCTTGTTTAGTAAGGCACCTATCTCTCCGCACTCTTCCTCTTACTTTATATAGTGAATGCTTTTTGTGCCTTTTTACATCTCTCACTAACTCAGTTTAAGCCCTGGCCTTCTTGATTTTCTTTCTACATGCCTGAGCTATACCTTTATACTAATCCTTAGGCATATGGCCAATTGTATTTTAATTCCTTATTTAAATACTAACTGATTTTATTTACCTTGTACTTGTCACCTTCATTTTTAGACTGTAAGAAATGCTTGCTCATCTCTTGGGTTAAAACAGACACAGGATTATCTACCTATAAACAACAAATAATTAAAAGAAAACTCGAGAACAAAATAGTAATTTTAAACTGGTTGAATATCTCTGAAAGTTAACAAATCAACAGAAGTGGGAATTGAAACCTCCATTATATCCCACATGTCCACTGCCAAAGTGGTTAAAAAAATAGCTGGAAGCACCACAACTGCAGGTCAAACAATCCAGTCTGAACTAGAGAGCAGCAGTCAGATCCTAAGACACTTTTCTATTATTAGTCTTGATTAATTCTATGAGAGAATACATCCAAAAACAGTGTTAAACATGGATTTTACGTGCAACACCAGTTAATATTCTGTTTATTACTTAACAGATAGAAAACTAACCAAAACAAATTTAACTTAGAACTGGATGATAAAAAGACCTATTTGCAGAAGGTGAAAAAAGGAAGCTCTAATTAAAGGGAGAATCAAGGGGAGCCGCTGAGCAGGCTTAAAATTCTTGGGACAGATAACAAAACTTCCAGCTTTTAAGTCACAGTTGGTGTGTTTATCTATGTAGTTGCCAAGAGATACTCATTTTCTGCAGAAGACAGTTTTTTAAAATCCATTTTTAGCTTTTATATCTGTGAAAGTAATTTTGAACATGAACTCAAACAGTACTGGGTTAGTATAAAAAGGTGCAAAGTGATATTGTTTTACAAATGCAAACTTCTGCTTTAATGAGAAAAAAAATGAGTTTAAAATGATAAACATGAACTATGAAACATATTAGCAATTACCTGTATGTTAAAATGATCCAATATTGCTACAAGTTCCTCTTTCTTACAAGAAATTGAGGTCCCTAAAGGCATAAGAAAAAAAAAATAAAACAAGAACATAGACTAGTTAGCAAACAAAATTGCAGATAAGTATAAAAAATTTCAACTCATTCAAAAAACTTAGGGCACCTATAAATGTAACCGAGCTCTGCTCCAATGTGTGTTAATTAGTACACGTTTGAGCAGACTCGATTAATCAAGTTGGCTGCCAACCTGTGGAACATGTTAATTAGCATGATACAGCAGCCTCTGCATCACGTGTATTCAGCATCCCTGCATTTCACAATGGTGGCAAGGACACTTTAACTAAAGCTCATCAAATGAGCACCGCTTGCCTACCTCCACCCCAGAGCACGTGTATAGATGCCCTTAGAGTTTCACACTGGAATAAGAATATAGTCAATAACTTCCCAACAGTGTTAGGATTGAGGGAAAGATTTATATCCTATGCAAATATATTAACTAAAGACAGAAAACGTTATGTATTAAAAATAGAGGTTGTACTTTTAAAAATCTATTCAGTGGTTTTAAGAATCTCTCTTTTGAAGCCAGTGATGAAAAATTAGTTTAATCTGTTACTACACTTTCCGTTTTCATCTGCCCAGAACGCAAAATGATAGATGTGGAAAAATCTTCAGAACATAGTTCAGTCCTCTGCACCACGGGTTCCCAACCCCCAGGCTGCAGCCCAGTACCAGGCCGTGAAGGGTTGGCTGCTGGATCAGAAGCGACCGTGGACCAGCAAACCATGGACTGGAAGTGACCAGCATACTGTGGGCCAGCTGCTGGCCCATAGTATGCCAGTCATTGCTGGTCCACAGTTTGCTGGTCTGCAGTCACTTCTGGTCCAGGGTTTGCTGGTCCCCACCATAAAAAGGTTGGGAATCTCTGCTCTCCACTAACACAGGATGCATTATTCTAAACCAGTGAAGGCCAACCTTTTAAGCAGGTGTGCCACAAATTAGACCCACACCCTCCAAGTGCCACTCCAATGCCCTTCCCCAATTCGGTTTGCTGCTCTGCTTTCCGCTCCAAGTCATATGCTCTCTGTCTGATCCGCTGCTCTGCTTTCTACATCCTTTCCTGCCCAATTTTATTCTTTGCATTCTGCTTTTTGTCCTGTCTGCAGCTGTGCTGCCTGTCCCCTCCCCAATTTGCCACGTGCAACACAGAGGCTGCCTGTGCCACTTTTGGTACCCATGCTGCTGGTTGGCCATCCCTGTTCTAAGCCATCCTGAAAAGAAGTATATCCAAACTCTTCTTGAAAACCTCCAATGAGGGAGGTTCCAAAATTACTTTATACCGTTAAACCCATAGTCCTTTCTGACCTTAGAGTTAAAAAGCTTTTCTTGACATTTTAATTTAAATCCCTTTTTGCTGCAAATCCATTGTTACATGTCCTGCCCTCTGTGGCAAAGGAAGTCAGCTGTTCTCCCTCTTCTTTATGGCAGGTTTTTAAATAATTAAAAACTGCTATGATGACTGCCCCTTGCCCAAATACCACCACCACCTTTTGTTCTTAACTCTAGTTAAGTATCTCAATATTTCCTCATACAATTCTTTTAACTTCTTTGGTGCTCATCACTGGATCCTATGCAGCTTCCCTACATCCTCTCTAAAATATTGTGATCAAAACTAGACACTGTACCACAGTATTACGGCTGACGCCTACCCAGATCAAAAGTAGCATAGTTCTATCACTTCCTATGTCTAATAATATTTCTTTTAATATGGCCCCACACAGCACTGTATAAGAGAGCAAGAGGGATTTTTTTTTAATCTGTATTATTTAAAAAATTACATATATTAAAAACATCCAGTTAAACATAACCTATTAAAAACAAAAAAACCCACATGGGGCTATGAATCAAAATAACCACGCAGCAAAAGAGAATCATTCAATCAAGTAACAAAGGAGAAAACCCTTGCACCTCCCTTAACCCCACATACCAGTGATCTTCCACAGTAGGCAGGGCTGTCAGTGAGGCCCTACCTACATTAGGATGCAAACTGTTTACATGTTGCTTTAGGGCAAAGTACTCAAATTTAATGCTAAGATGTGTTTGAATAAGGATATGAGACACATGGAGGGCATCAGAGCTGAACCTGGTGAGCCGGTTCTGGCAGCTCTTCAGTGTCACTACCTCAGCCCGGGCCAGGAGAAAGCTGCCCAGGTACACAACACTTCTCTCAGATTCTCACGAAAAGATATGCGCCATCTAACTTAACTCTAAGGAGAGAGAGAGAGAGAGAGAGTGCATGCAAGCACACAACAACAGAGATCAAAGGTGTGAGATCATCACATTACTGAGTCCTGTCAAGTCTGTGATCCATCATAACCCCCATATCTGCTACTGCCTAGCCAATTAATCTCCCTTCTATATTTGGTTTTTCTTAGGAAATACCTAATCTTTCACACAGAAAAATACTGTAAATGCTTTAAATAATTAAAAGAAGAAATATCACCAAACCTGATTTGCTTTTCAGTTTATAACTACGACTTCCATCCGCGTTAATACGCTGACTGACAACAATAGAATCGCCATAAACATCTGGCTTAAAGGCATCTCTACCTTGGTTTCGTAATGTTATTGAAACATCTGCAGAACTAAAACAAACAAATGAACAAATTTCCAGTTGCATTTGAATCATCCAACAAAACTTTACAGCAACAGATTTTCAAATCCTGTTTATAAAACAAGTCAAATTTAGTTGGGGACGTTTTCATCTAAATTGTGGCTCAATACTGCGGCTTAAATACTATGGTCATTCTGTGATTTATGTTTGCCTAGGACAGATGTAGGTCTGGAAACAACTTTCTTAAGCTAAAACTGTGGTAAATTGACAGCTGTATGGATTATGCAAAATCTAACCACGTTAGACCATTTCTATGATAGGGACCTCATTTGAATAAGAAAAAAAAGAAAACAAAACCCACAATCATGAAACTTAAAATTTGATGGCAAAGGACACAGAAACTGGTAGACATACAAGAAGGTCTAATTTGGGACTTGAAGGCTTTCCATTGACTCCTCTCAACTGAATGAAAGCCTAACAAATTAAACCTAAAGAGCTAAGTCACCAGGGCCCCATCAGGCATACAGCATGGACATCCCCTCTCCCCCCCCCACACACACACTCACTGCTGCACTGTGCACCTGCCTGGGCACACCCCCCTACTGCGGCACTGGGCCTTTCCCACTGCTGTGGAATTCCCTCTCCCCCCGCTACAAGGCTCTGGCCCCACATTCTCACCCCTTGCAGCCTCCGATAGCACCACACCTCGTTGGGTAAGGCAGGAAGTGGCAGCCAGAGGAAGGAGGGGGAAGCTTGGAGACTCCAGCTGTTATTGCCAGAGTGGTGCCTGGGTGATGGCCCTGGGTCTGCATATTAACCCCAGGTGAGACCCCCCTACATTGCCAGTTGTACAGCTCTGGCTTAGTGCATTAGTGAACTTTCTACTTTATGCCCTAATGGGTGTATATAAAAATCAATCAGATATGAACGTAGGGAGAACATAGTTCAGTCCCAAAATAAGGTCACCGTTGAAAAAGACATAATATTAGCAACTCAAAATAAAGCAGTGTCTAAATAAAATTAGAACTCAATGGGGATTATTAAAAAAAATATTTAAACAAATTCTGCATTTGTAAAGCAAAAAGAAACTAAATCTAAATGAAATGGTTAAAGGGATATCTGATTAAACTAGTTAATATATTAGGTATAATATAGGCATTCCAGGTATTACACTTCATTTTAAAAATATATGAATGTGTGGTTGTAAAATTTTATTTCTTATTCGAGTGATCCTAGCACACAAAACAGCATGAAAAGCTAGGCATGTTATAACTAAGTTAAGAGTCAAGACAGACCTCCACAAACACATTACACAACATTTCACTTACGACTCTCCATCTTTTACAAATACTTTTAAAGAGGATCCTCTATTAGTTGTGGTAGCTTTTCCACCAAGACCAACAATAAGAGCAGTTAATACAGCACTCTTCCCACCTATTAAAAAAAGCATGTAAATGTTTTATGAAGCAAAATTGTATTTTTAAAATGCAATTAAATTACAATTTATATTTTCAACCAAAACTCCACACATTTAAATCTCACTAATACTGAAATTTGAATAAAAAATAATATTAGAATAGTATGCTAACCATTCATTTTTTTGCAAAATATTGACAACTTTTCCAACATCTCTCTCATGAAAAGTTGAGTTCAGCATTAAATTTAAACCTACTTAACTTATGTACAGTTCAAGAAATTTCCATTCTTTTTCCTAACACTTTTCAGCATTGAATGTTCATTTAATTTCTTTTCCCCTCAAAATCAAACAAAGAAACTTCTAGTGAGCACCCCTGGGGGAGACATGGGGAGCACGTGCCTCCTGGATTGGTGTATGGGGCAAGGATAGGATGCAGACTTGGGGCCAGGGGCTGCACCAGCCTCTTCCCAGCAGGGGTTGGCCAGGGTTGCGCTCAGGGTGAGTGGGGATGGGGTTAGTGACGGTGGTGCTGGGAAGGGGGCTACAGGATGGGCTACAGACATCCAAAATTTTGCCATAGCTACCCCATAGCGCCCCTCCCAGCACTGCTGCCACCCGCCCCACCCCACCCCGAAAGCAGCCCCGGCTCAGCCCCCTTTGCCGGGAAGAGGCTGGCATAGCCTCTGGCCCTGAGCCTGCAGCCCGTCCTTGCCCCATACACCAATCTGGGGGGCACGTGCTCCCCATGCCTCTCCTAAGGGTGCACGCAAGGGTGGGAGCCCATCCACCCATGGCTCCATCCTGCGCTCCATCTTGGCTGGGCAGTGCTGGACCCTTCCGCAGCCCCACTCCCTCCCTGACTGTGGGGGCCTCGATCTGCCCCCACCCCACAGATGTACTGGCCAGATGCTGGTCTCCAAGCTGCTGGGTTGCATTTCTGGTAGCGTGAATGCTGCAACTGTGCACATGCACATGGCATTTATTGGTGACATTATCAGCATTCAGGTTTTTTTGGCTGATAATGTCAATCTTCCTTTTACTGGTACCAATATGATCTGGACCAATATACTGGTGCACTTCTACCTAATTAATGTACAAGTAAACCAGACAGAGGGACCTTTCCCAGTTGCTCATGACACACACAAATCTCCTCCTGGCAAACAATTACAAAACTTCCCAAAAACCCAACTAGAATACAATATAAAAAGACTGAATGAAAGACAAAATATACAAAGGAACTTAGGAAGATTAAGTACTTAAGTCCAAAAATATAATAATCACAATCATCTGCCGCACCAAATCTTTGATAAGCAAATTACCCAGGTGCCTAAAATTACTATTTCCGTATGAACTCAGAAGCATCTTTACATTTACAGGCCTGAATAGCCTCTCATGCCTTATAGGATCCATGAACTGCATGTTCCTTCACCAATGTTCCTTCAGGAGCAAAATCCAATAAGCACACTCAGAGCAGGCTGACAGGATGGAGCTCTGCACAAGACAGCACATTCCTACTGCCCAAAGAGAATAAAGTGGTATCCCCTATATGCAAAACCTAATGGTTGATGCATTCAGCCAAGACAGGAGACAAAAATTCAATTCTCTTCCTTATTCAAGATGAATTAGCCCTGCAAGAGAGAGTAAAATCTAATGGTCAGGGCATTCACCAATGGCAGGAGGTTCTAAGTTTTTGTCCTATAACAGGAACTGTTAAAACAAAACGTCTCAAATGTAAACAGTCAAGATCTCAAGAAAATCCTTCCCAGGTGAGTGCAGCAGCCTAGCTTAGAGAGTTTTGCTCCTGCTCTTCCTTTTACTGGACCTAGAGTTTTCAGTTCATTTCCTCTTAGCATCATAATATTCTTGCCCCTTTATGGATCTAATCCTTAGTATGTGAATATTTAAAAGTAAACAAAAATACTTTGGAGCAACTTAATACTTACTTCCATTGTTTCCCACCACAAAATTGACATTGGATCCAAACTGAAAGGGTCCGAGCATTGAGTGGCACATAAAGTTTTTTAGTTGGATGCTTTCAATTATCCCAACTTCCCCTGAAGTCTATAAAAATATAATACAATTGCATAAAAGAATTAAAATAAAAACAATCAATGAAGATAAAGTATAATGAGAAATCAAAAAGGCTGAATGATAATTACATGCCAGCAAGTAAATTAAGCAAAACAGAACAATTAACAGAAGTGTTTGAGATAATGCATGTTAATTACATGACATTATGGATAACTCATAGTTGATGGTGTCAGTCAAATCACTTACCAAAATTACTTTTAGTTTCCCCTTCATAAATTACCTTAAATACCTTACATGTGAGGAGTATATATTAGTGTTTGGATACCATATTGCAACTGGTGTACTTCATAGAAACAGAGTAACATTTTAGAATGTCCTTTACTCCTTTTAGCTGGTGTGTAACAATTTCTGGTTAGGAGGTTAGGAAGAAGCAGCTGAAATTAGAAGTGGAAGGGATAAAGCCCTGGTAAAAATTGATACTCTTCCTGCCCCTTCCTTCCCCCCCTTTTATAAACATCGTTTTAGTTTTGAGGCACCCAACAGTACGTTATTTCCTAAAAAGTTATTGATAAAACGTAGAATGACTAATGTCAAGAGAAATTCAGTTTCCTAGTTCTGAGTATTTTTAAAGATATTTTTAAGTAATGCCTTGCATTAGACATTACTGCATTTGCACTTTAAAAGGATTCCTGAGATTTAGGAAAAAATAATATTTACCTACCTTATTATGATTCAACTATTATAAAAGGTGGTAAGAATAGGAGTGTATTTATAGCCAAAAATGTTTCACCAATATAAACCACTTCAGTATTGTCACTACAATTATGTGGGGTACATTTAACAATCGTTCAAAATGCTCCTTCACAGGCAGTCCTTTCTCTTTCCAGTATTTTCCTCTCTCTCTCTATCACCAAAGCACAGCTGTACAAGGTATTTGGTTAATCATCCACTAAATCAAATGCTATTTTCTTAACTTCTGCAATTGTATGGACAGTTTGAAGCACTCCAACCCCCAGAAAGCCTCAAATTCAGGGCCATGCATATGTGCACCTGCCTCTCCACTTGTGGAACACTTAAAAATTGCCACAGAGGCATACAGCTGTACCACTGTCCAGCCAGGATACTGGAGAGCAGGAACCCCTCCCCGCCTTGACCTCTGGAGGTTACTGAAGGCAGGCAAATGCATAGGAGAACACTCACTGGTTGTCCACAGAGCAGAGCATTGTGGGATGCCAGAGGATCAGTGGAGCGTACTTATATTTCAAGAAGCATTTGAAAAAGAAACAGTTCAAGATATCGCTCATTTTTTAAGGGTTATCTTCAGCTATGCACATCTGAAACTCCTCAAACAATAAGGATACAAAGGCACTTAGAGCACTTCAAAAAGCACATCCTATCCATGGTGTTGACTGACTATATTTGGCTTCTGCAGCAGTCACTGTATGTGAAGCAACTGACTGGTAAGTTGCCAATGTAATTCATGATTTTTTATTTTAAACAAAGAATAATTATCACAACTATGTGCCTTACACCATTAAAACAAAGTCAGGACTACAGCAGGCTGTGGAATTTATAAAATGATCAAAATAGATTGCACTGAAAGGCTGTCCACAATATGTTGATATATTTGAATCACAGATTATGGCTATAAGCTCCCTGAAAAATTATACTAGATGAAAGGATATTCTTCAAAAGGTAACTGCAGACAATTACTCTGAAGAAGGCCATACAACAGAAACATCACTGCTAGCATTCATTTCCATATAGCTATTACTGCAGCCTATGGGCAAGATGCTTGTTTTACTGGCAACTGGAATCAGTGCACTAAATTCATACCATGATTTTTTCCTCTTTTCTTCATTAGTTCAATTTCAAACAGGATACACTACAATTTATAGCTTACCAACTGTGAGCAAGAATTGCTGCCAGATGCTAGATGTGAATGCTCTGCTTCATCGGGTTCATCATCATACTTATCCGCATCTTCTTGTCTTAGCCTTTTATGGCCTCCAGATTTAGAAACACTTTCCTCTTTTCTCTTACCCATCAGTACTAGAAAATAAAAATAAAAGGTATATTATTAGTTTCAGTCACTTGATTAAATGCACCAACATGTTTAGGACTACCTATTGAACATACTGAAAATAAAAATTAATGATCACAACAAGCTACGGAAAAAAAGAAAAATCAACCCAATTATTATGGAGCAATGCTAAGAACTACCAGTTCTTAGCAAGCAAAATTAAAATTCAAGTCAAGCTAAAAAAAAGGAAAGAGAGAGAGAGAGAAAAACTCAACGCACAAGCATCAGTATCACATAACAATAGGGTTAGAACAGACAACAAAAAAAGTCATCCAGGTCCAAGATCAGGCACAAATGTAGAATGAAATAATCCTATATCATCCCAGACAAATGCCTAACTAGCCTTTTCTTGAAAGCTACCAGTGAAGGGGATTCAACAACTGTCTTGGCAGCTTATGACACTGTCCTACTGTTCTGACTGCATGGACATTCTGGCTGCCTACAGACATTAAAAAAAAAAAAGTGCTTTACATTAAAATTTGGCGCACACCTGCCCAAACCCAGAGCATACCCGGAAGAGGCAGCATGTTAATTGGACTCGGCTCTGCAGCATCTGTATAGATCAGGTGCTTTAGCGGGCTTCTTTGGTGCTTTTAGTTGATTCAATCAGCTATTAGATAAAAGCACCAAAAAGCCCTGCTGAAGCGCCCAATCTATACAGACACTCCAGAGCCAAGTCAAAATAGGATGCTGCTTCTTCCAGTAAAGCATGGTTTTTTTCCACATCTGCAAGTAGCCTCTAATATTTAATCTGGATCTGCTTTGCTGCTGTTTAAACCCACTGCTTCGTGTCCTGCCCTCGGCAACGAGAACACTTATTTTCCCACTTTACACCATCTTTTCAAAATATATGAAATATATTATATAAAAATATATGAAAGCTGTTATCATGTTCCCTCTTAATCTCCAAACTAAACAAACCTAACAAACCCGCATGACCCAGTTTTTCCTTGTATTGCTTATTAATCCCAACCCCCTTTATCTTTTTGTCACTCATCTCTGGATCCTCCCCACTTTTTCCACAACCTTAAGTGGTCATAGAACCCAGAACTGAACAGTTCTGTAGCTGAGGCCTAACTAGCACCACATAGAGTAGTACTCTCACTTCCCATGTGTTACACGCTATACTCCTGCCAATACAGCTCAAAATTGCATTTGTTTTTTTTCAGTAACTGAATCACACTGCTGATGGAGGGCAAGCCCTTCCCCGCACAGATTCTTCTGAGCAACATGACAGGCATCTCCCATTCTGTTTTTGGATTTATTTTTTTCTTAGAGAAAAAGCATCTTCCATCCTGAATTCCATCCTGTTGCTTATTTCCCAGTTTTCTGTGCTGCCAAGAGTCTTCTTCATTCTGATACTAGCTCCCCAATTTTTAGAACCCATTTCAGTTTTGTGTCATTTGGGATAGTAACCAGGAAGCTCTCTATTCCTGCAGTTGAATCATTACAATAATTCCAACTATAATTTAACTACTCTGTTTGTAGTTATTCAGCCAGTTACATATACACTTGTTAGTCTACCTAGTCCACTTTTCTTTAGCTTACTTTAGTTTATGTAAACTGTCATATCAGACTGTATCAAAAACCTTACTAAACCCAAGTGTGTATTATGTTCACTGCATTTCCCACATCCATTGAATTTGTTACCATGTCGAAGAGAAAAATCAAGTTGGCATGATTTGTTCTTAATAAATCCATGATGGCTTCACCTCTTCCTCCTCCAGGTATTTACAAATTGACAGCTTTATATTTTGCTCCAGTAATTTCCCAGGTATTGAACTGATCAGTTCCCTGGGTGCTCCCTTTTAGAGATGAGCACTATATGAGGCTGTCTGCAGTCCTCTGGGACTCTTCCATGGCTCTGCAAATATTGTTACCCTGGCTCCAAATTTTCTTCAGCAATGAATTTTGGGATGAATTTTGGCAGGCACTGCTGACTTGAAATCAAGTTTGGAAACAGTTCTCCAACGTGCTCTTTACTTACTGGGATCTGCACTCTTCTTCTTCATCTGTATTAATGTTGTTAGCTGTAACATCACAGTTTGTTTCTGTGGTGAAGCCTGAAGCAAAAGAAACACTGGGCAGCTCCGCCTTTGCATCTTCTGTGAATAGCTCGCCGTCACAATTTAATTGGTGGACCCAGTTTCCTTGGTCATTTTTTCCTGTCTGACATTGTATAATCCCCCACCCTGTTTTTGTCTTTATCCCTTATCATCCGTTTATCAATTTTTGCCTTTGCTTTCCTAATTTTGTCCTTGCAAATTCTTGCTATTCCTTGATATACTTCCTTAGTGACTTGCCTTCCATTTCATTCACTCCACATTTCTCTTGATTTAAGCTCCTTTCGCAGTCTCACTCTCCTTGTCATTGTTCTCTTTACTCTGTGTTGGAATAGCTTCTTGTTGAGCCTTTAACTACTACATCCTTTTAGATCTGCTGGCCATCCTGGACCCCTTTATCCTTCAATCTGTTTGCCCACAGGACTTCGTCTACTATTTTTCAGAGTCCATCTCTTTGGAATCTAGTATCCTTGCTGTGCTTATCTTGTGCTTTCTCTTTCTTATGGTCTTGAATTCTATTATAGTACCATTACTTGCTTCCAAATGCACATTATATTCACATTCATTATCGATTCTTCTTTATTAATCAAACAATATCCAAAATAGACAATGCCCCAGCTATACCCTGAACTGACTAAACTTACTGGAAATTTTATGCTTTGCCATATTATTCTTCCAACAGATATTAGGGAAGTTAATTAATACTAACCTCCCCACCACATTAATACTACCTCATAAATCTGGCAGAATTTTACCTGCTTGAAGAATGTCTCATACTCCGTTTCTTTCCATTTTGGGGACATATATTAGACCACCATCCCAATATCACTGTTGCTGTTCTCCCCTTTATCTTCAAGTAACCCTCAGACTTGTTCCTTTCTTCCTCCTGAACCTGAGGGGACACATATATTCTTAATCTACAGTATTAGTACTGCTTCCTTTTTTCCTACATTTATCCTTCTGAAACAAAATATACCCCTCAATCTTGATATTTTCTGATTGTGGCAGTTATGCTACCAAGTTACCGTAAAGCCAATTAAATCATAGTTTCCATATATACAAATACTAGCAATTCTTCTTGTTTGTTATCCATACTCCTTGCATTTGTATATATAAATCAAAGATGCCACGTAGGCTTCCCTATTGCTTCTCCTCTGTCATCTCTTTTTTGCTAGACTGTAGCTCCTGGATTTTTCACAATTAGGCCTTTTCTCTCAATCTTCCTCCCTCAGTGTTCAATACACTGTGGTCAAAAGGTTTGTTTTTACCATCCTCAACAGCACTTAAAGGCCCCATCAGGTTAGCCACACAGTCCCCAAATATACTCTTCCCATTCTTTGTCTGTTCAGGGTCATTCCCAGCAGTATCA